GGGCCTCCAGGCACTAAATGAAACCAGGGAAGCTGGGAGGAGGGAAGCGAGCACTGCGAGAGGTTGGGGATTGCACAAGACAAATCTGCGTGTGCTGGTGAGGAGCAGGATCTGAACGGGTAGTGTAAAGCACGCACGGCACCGTAGCGCTCACTTATCGCAAGAGCTTGGAAGTGTAATATTTAATCATTTTAACTCCTCATGGCTCAGGGGTAGGCTGACGTGCACGGCATAGCTTCCCAGGTATACCTGGGGCTCCCAAGGCGGAGAGCTGTCCTTCCCCAGCAGTTACATCTGCTGGTTTTAAAAATCCTCAGGGAAGAGAAACATGCTGATGGGGCTGATTTCAAGGGGACACCTTTCTCTATCCTGGATGCTTCTCCATGTGTTCTTTCTTTGTATCAGTCCTTGTAACAGCAGGTGATACCCACTGTCTGTCACTGGCAGGTAAAATTTGGCTGCAAGGACAGAAGAATTGCAATGGACATGAGTCTACAGGGTAGAAGCAACAAGAGAGGGCATGGGGAGGAATTACAGTGACAGAAAAGCCACAAATCGGGAAGAATCAACATGAAATGGGAAAATCAGCTGAATTTCAAGGGAGAGGCAGGAAGCCGAGTTCATTGCCCTGCAATTGCCAGCCCCAAGCAAGAGACACTTAGACCAGGTACTGCACACTGGCCCGGGTACCAAAAGCCAGAAAACACCCCCACAAACAACTGCTCAAAAGCCACAAACTACCAGAGGAGAAGAGCAGGACCTTGGACCTGCAGTAACTGCCAATTTAATAAGAAACGCAAATGTTGATTACAGCCCATGTCTCATGCCAGAGAGAAAGGGAATGCTCCCCAACCGAATCATCCCTTCCGGTTGGATGAGGAAAAGGAGGAGCGTCAGAGCCCTTCCCAGTGCCAAAGCTGGCAATCAACCTAATCACCAAACAAACAGCCATGCTCTGTACTCCAGCACTCGCCATTCATCATCCCATTTTCTCGCTGCAGTCAGTCTCTGATGCCTCATGAGATTAATAAACAAACAACGAAATCAATACAGTCATCTCGATCCCTGCAGGCCACAGACTGTGAACAACATAACTGCTGCCTGAAAAGAAGTATCAGCGTGTAAGACAGGCTCCCAAGAGAGAAGTCCACCACCCCAGCTCTCAGCTGTCCAAAAATTAACACACATGCACAGGGGAACAGTTCAGCAGTGCCCTGGGAAACAGAGATACTGAGCAGGTCTTTCCCTCCTACAGCTTCCTGATGTTCTCCTCGAGCATCATCAGATCCAGTCTTGACCTTCTCTGAAATCCAGGCACCAAAGGAATATTTTCACATTCTTCATGGCAGGCTGGGAAATCATCTTTGCTTATTGACTTGACGAGGGGGCTGCTCTGCAAACATCAGTCCTCTTCAAAGATGGCCTCGGGCTCTTCAGTTCCTGTCAGTAGGGAACCTCACCAGAATCTCTCTGAAGCAGAGAGAAGCGTGTGTATGAGAATGAAAGTAAATTAGGTCTGAACAAGATTAACAGGGGTTTAATTGAACTATGTGAACTGGAATTCCAGTCACGAGCTACTTATTAGCCCGTCTCAAGGGATTGTGCTGCTTGCACTGGAGAAGCACAAGGATGCATTGTGAGCGTGGGACAGCTCAAGGGGATGGCGATGGCCACAGCTCTCGAGATGAGCGTGGCCAGAGAGGCAGAGCTGCTTGAACATGATCAAAAACGAAGCAAAGAATTCTCAACTCCCAGCCATGTTTCTTCAGAGCTGAGGCTTGGCCTATTGAGGGAAACAAACTTCGTAACAAGTATTAGCAGAGGAAACCCAGCTCTCAGCCCAGCTCCTGGGCTTGGGGTGGCAGAGCAAGCTGCTGTTCACCGAGGTGCTGCCTACTGGCTGGTATCTGGAGGCAGACCTTTGAAAACCTCCCCTTCAATAAAAGTGACTTAATGAGGTCTTCAGCTCCCTTTGGGATGTTAATTACAAAACAGCCTGGAGAAAAGTGCTTGGGAATTAAAGGAGTCACCACACTAGTCCTTCTCTTGTTTTGGTTTTCTGGTGAGGGAACCAACAGACGCTTGCCAGAGCTTGGCAATCACACCGGTCTTACCGCAGCCAAAAGGAGCCACCAGACAGCTCCACGCTCCAGCCATCTAAACCTGAGCTACAACCACACACCGAGGGGCTACTAAAAATCCCTATTATCAGACTACTGAATCCCCATCTAATCCACTGCTCGTATTATTAACAAATGATGCCTTTATTACTGCTACCTTCATGGGGGCTCTTGGAGCCAAAATCTCTCATGAGAGGCAAATTAATTTAGACATTGCACCATTTCCTCCTTCCTTCCAGGAAGGTGAAGCTGTAAGGGGAGATAGTTTGCTACTTCCAAGTCAAACACAGATACACACATGCCTGACAGCATTAACTAACCAATTGCTCACAGATTAAAGGATCTGAAAGGCTTTCCCTTAATGGATCATTTTTATGAATAGGTTATTTATTGTCCCTGTGTTCCTATAGTCCGAGAGTTCTGGCAGCTTTCACAATGAATGCATGGAAAGAGGCAGCACAACTTTAAAAAGAGATTTCTTTTTAAACAAAGAGATTCTGATTGTATTTATTACACATTTCAAGAGAAACTAAAATACATGGGATATTGGTAATCTCTAAAAACATACGGTAAGTTCAGCTAACAAGAGCATTCAAATAGATAGAAAGCTGTTAGGAACAGACTGGGGAATTTATCTTAATCCCTCTTCCCCCCAACAAAAACAAACCCCAATATCCATGATTTCTACTTAGCAATGAGTAAGCCAGCCTGCAAATAGCTAGATGTAGATGTTGATGTAGTAGCCTGCTATTTCAGGTAACAACCACACAGCGCTCATTGCTAACCGGTTCTTAGTTGTAGAAGCGCTTCTATATTTCAGGTAATGTGTGTGCTACTCTTTCAATAGTTGCAATTCCGTTAAAGCATTAAACCCCCCCTTTAGGTAACCTGCAGAAAGCCAGAGTTGTTAGACAGAACAACTACCATCCTCATTTACTGAAATGGAAGAAGTGATCTGCAGTACCTATCCAGGGCAGTGGCAATGCTTTTCTTTCCCCTGCGGATCACAGACAGGAACACAGGTCCGTAATGGAAACTCATAGCACAATATTGTTCTTTGTTATTTGCGTGGGAAATTTTTGTAATGTTTCTTTGTACTGAGAACTCAAAGCAACTTTAGAGTGCTTGTGTCTCCCATGCTTTGTTCTGTCCTCCTAGTATTGCCTTTACGTAGCTCAAAAAAAAAGAAGAAAAAGAAAATGCTGAATTTAAAGCAGAACTCTAAGCTGGATTTTAAGTAGTGCAACTTGGTGTCAGCATTCCGGTTAAGAGAAGCAGAGAGCTGGAGCAGGGAAGCAGTGAGAGGTTAGAATCAAACTGGTACTGGGATCCCTCTGTCTCACCCACCAAAAGCAAGAGCGAGCAGAGAATGTTGCTGATCTCAACACTGATGGTTACTGTACACGTGCTGTTCAACTCCTGTTAGAGAACACGCAGCACAACACTGCTACCGTATCTGGGCTCACAAGGCATTTGTGAATTGAAGATGGGAGTCTGTGTATGCAAAAAGGATCGCAGACTTGCAGCCCTGCCAGAGAACCCTTTCCTTCAAAGCCGCTCTGAACCCTGGGTGCGCCTAAAAGAGCAGGTTCTCCTCCCATTGACTCATTCGTGATCAAACAAACCAAGATGTGAGCTGGCATCAGGAAGCTCGAGCTGCCCTACCGAGACTCTGTGGCTACGTCACCACCTTTCTCTTTCCAGTCCTGTCTAGCCATATTTAAATCTAATACTAGATTGTCCCTGGGCCTGGAGAGCCAGAGCCTGAAGGAACGTAGTGTATATGTCTCTTGCTATATAGTCAAGCTACACAGCCAGCTTGCCACCCCTTGGATCTTAAAATACCACATCTCCTCAGGCTGAGATCATATTTAACTTCAGGAAGAATTCGGCAAGAGGAGATGCAGCAGACTATAGCAGGTAAGGCTGGGAGTGAGTTTGCAAATGCAACAAACCCCAGCTGTGTTGAAATGGAGCACATGGTTAGGACTCGGCTAGCCGACAGGAAGGCTTATCAACAGCACAGCTAAGCAGTGCTGTTTGGTACATGACCAATGTAGCACTCTGAGACTCCCACCTCAGAGCAGCTTTTCTCCAACATGCAGTACCTGGTCTTCCCAAGTTTCTAAGAACACCCCATTAGCACATTAAATTCTGCACCTTCCAGAATCAAATTGTTCCCCGATCCTCGTAGTCATTGCAGTCCCCACCACAGCCTCAATTCCCTAAAACGTACCTGCTTTCAAAGGGTGGGAATAGAAAAGTGCATGGGTGGGGAATAAGAAAGAGGTAGCGACGCTGGGGAAATGAAAGCTTTCATCTACAGCAGTCTGGAATCTGATGAGTTACTACCTAAAGAATTAAAGAATATGACAAAGACATTATTATAAAGCCATAAAATGCAGCTATGTATTTCAGACTAGATGACAACAGAGATGAATACAAAGCTGTGTAGCGTGGTATCCTTGATCCATTTGATCCCTCTGCCTTCAAAAAATACAACACAAACTGGTATCCAAAGTAGCAAACCCATGCTCCACCTTCCACAGGAACTTTACTACAAATCCTAGCCAGCATGGAGGAGCTAGGACAACAGCCCTCTCTACCCACCAGAAATGACAGAAGTCACTTTAACGGTGACTGACACATTAATCATGTCAAATGAAGTCCTGGATATGCGAAGTCCTCTTTGCTTGTGAGAAATCTATGGCAGAACCCTGCCCCTTCCACTCTTGTAAGTTCCTTCTCCCTTGTCCCCGAAAGGTAAAGCATGGCAATGCCAGAAAACCATTTAATATAGTTAGTTGCCTTTGATGTAATCTCCGAGGAAGCATGATTATAGCTGATTATTTTGTCTTTTGAGGCTCATCGGTCATGGCTTTATCGTTTCTTTTTGGTTTCCTTCTTGGGTTTCTTGCTTATCTGTGGAGCAGTTGCTTTTGGTTTCTTCACTGTCTCTGAATTCTTAGGCTCAAAACTGTCCGAGTCCTACAAGAATCAATTAAGAAACAGTCAGTAACTTTTTTTTACAATTTGCTGACAGCTCACTTTGGGAATTTGAGTTTAAGCCAAAGGAAGCAAATGCTGGGTATCTCTGTTGGAACACATCTATATCAAACTGAGTCCACATTTAATGTGACTTGAGCAGCACCATCTCTGCTTCTTCTGCCTGTGCTTTTTGATGAGTGTGAGTTTATGCATAGAAACAGCTTGTTACCAGACAAGCCGTTAAAAGCTTAAGTGTCTAAAACAGGCTTTGGAGAAGAAAAATAAAACCAACTTTAAAGGCAAGAAGAAAATCAACACTAAATGAAAACTATTCAAATTAGGAAAAGGAGAAGATACCATATAATCACCAGTGTGTGTGGAAACATTCAGCAGGTATTTCTGCCAAATGTTAATCATTATCATGTGCAAGACAAAAAATATTCCCCAAAACAGTAGTAAGAATGTAAAGTTCAGAGCCTCTACACCAAGCCCAAAATCTAGGGAGGGAATTGCAAGCAAAGCTTTCTTCACCTGGACTAACAAGGAATGCTTAGATATCCTGCTTGTTTCCTTCAGGGGAGATGACAGATAATCTTTCAGCCATGGGAAATAAAGTCTAGCTATCTTGTAAAAACACAAGGGAACAGCGCCAGTCTCATCTGAGAAAGCGCACATATGCAGATTGCCTCCTTTCATTAAATGCATTTGAGTATAAATATTGCTTTAGCATCTTGGTTTCTATCAGTCAGAGTGTGCCAACTGGAAAAGGACACACAAAAAATGGCTGAGCAAGACGTGCTAGTTTCAAGCTTCCAAGACAGCACTCCAGATAATGGAGGGGGAGGCGAGCATCTGACAGTATCCTTTTAATCAAGGAGCTTGGTTCAAACGTCTCTCGAGTTACTGGGCTATTATAGTTCACATCTGTGTGGCTTTCCAAGGAAGGAGACTTGGCTGGCTTTCCAAAGGCTGTAATCGGCGCACGGGGAGCTGGCAGGCTCTGGAGAAATGGAGCAACATGCTTTATTACTCAAGGATGCAGTGTGCTGCTGCCGTAAAGTGAACACTGCTGCCTTCTAATGTTCAAACCAAGGTAGACTTCAAAGCCTGAAGCCTCCAAGACAGAGAAGCTCCTCAACATCCTACCCAGACTCAAGCATCATTCCCAAGATCTGGAGGGGTAGCCTCTGGTGTTTATGGTCTTGTATATTAGTCATATGGACAGTAAATCAAGACGACAGTATACATATGGAGAAAATAAAACGTAGAGCATGCAAACATCAAAGCATGCTTGTGAACTTAAACAGTAACAGGGCCTTGAGCTTTACCGTTTTAATTGGGGGCCTGGTCCTCAGTTTCCCACTTCAAACTAAAGCTCTCACTCTTTTCAGCTTTCAAGAATCAGGCTACTCAGTATTTATCAGGGGAAACCATGGACTCTGACAGACAGGCGCTGGTGGCTGCAGAATAACGGTGCAAGACTTGCAACGCCACTGCACCGTGACCGGCAGGCCCCCGCTTCCTCTC